CCCGCTCCTCGCGGGACCACGATTTCAAGACCTTCCCTTGTGAGCATTAATCTTCCGGGATGGAAACCCGAGTCGATGTGTGTCTTGAGTAGGTATCCGTCCCGAGAGCTCGACCTTCGTGAGAAGCTGATGAGTTTCGGATTGAGCACCGCCTTGACAATTCTCATCGACGCTGGGATTAGACACGACGGCAGTGATGTCGGCCGTCGTCGTCGGAACAACGGGTATACTCTTTTCTGCGAAACAGAAAACCGTTGTTCTTCTAACGGCAATCAGCGAACCCGTCATTCAGGTTGCGCGTTCTTCTACTTTGCGGGCCGTCGATTCAAATTTGAGTGTCATGTTCACTGACTAAATCGCCGTTCTGCTACTCACACAGAATGGAGGAGATGACTGTGGGCATCTTCCAACGCTATCAGGACCGGAAGATGCTCCTCGAGCACCCCGAGGCGGGCCGTCGCTCGAGCGCCGACCAGAATCGTGCCCTATAAAACAATGCTTCAGCTCGCTGAGGCAGAAAACGCCGTTCCCGTTAACGATTCTGGTACCGCTGCTTCCAGGGCTCGCAACGCTACCGCAATGTAGTCGCGGTAGTGGCTGTATCGGTCCTGGCGACCGTAGTCTTTGTCGGCCGGTCGGTCGGTCGGTCGCTGGCTGGTCGGTCGCTTGCGATTGCAGTAAAGCGGCTCCGACGGTGAATGTGTTCGTCCTCAATTATCACTCAGTCAGTCCGTCCGTCAGGAGTCAGACAGGCTCGCGTACCGACCCGAAGTTCTCACGTCATTCCAAGCACTCGACGTTAACTTCCATGAGCCGTCCGTTCGCTGGCAGCTGAGCTTCGTGGGTTGTCAAGACCGGTGGCGAAGTTGCGACTTCACCGACCGGACTGTGGGATAAGCTTTCGACGGAACATATTTTTGTCAAGAGAGTTTCCAAGAACCACACTCGAGACTTGCCTAACGTTAGCCTATCAGGAGCGACTCTTGTCTGCTGATCTATTCGCCTAGGGGAATTATAACAAGAACGATATCTCTGGGTGGTACGGAGGGGGTAAAAAAATTAATAACAATAATGATGACGAAAACGATTGTGAACGCGATGGCTAGGTCGATAATACGGGTTTCAAGCTATCTATAATATACCTCGTGAGCAACTGTTTCTCTCGACGTGGGTGACGATGACCGTGAGCAAGCAATTTCTCACAGTTTCGTCCTCAGTGACGGGTGACCTCGGACTCTGTGTTTGGAAAGATTTCCGTAGATTTCGCTTCTACCAGAATCCGAGCCGTGCAGCTCTCACTTCCCTCTCCTCGGTGGTCCGTCGTTCTGCTCTAACCGAAGGTAGAACGTCAAATTAAACTGACGCCGACAGGATATCAATGAGACTGTTTTTTCCCTGCTTCAATTCGTTTCCTTCAGATACGGAAAGCGCTGAAATCGCTCCAAATAATTTCTCGGCTGATGGTTCCGTTGATGAAGGCAACGAACCACAAGAAACCAGTCCACCCCCATCAAGAGAACAACCACAGCAACGAGAAGAAGTTGTTGGTGGCGATGATGCTTGCCATTCTTCCATCTATCCTCCGCACATGTCTCGATACACTGAATGGCCGCGCCTTTCAGCGTTCCTCACAGGATATCAGCTGTTTCTTCCAACCGACGACGTCTTCGTTTGCCTCCGTGTTCGGCTTGATCGCTTGCTTGCTTGTTCGGCCGTTCGGTGGACCGAGATAAAAACTCGTCAGATTCGGCAAACACAAAGAATCACGCGTGAATTTTGTCGCGCGGCAGGACGGCAAACCCTTGGTCCGGACGGTCAAGCGCCGCGCCGTCCGGAAATCAGGCGGTGCACAGAAGAGAGGGATAAATATTCGAAGGGTACGTGGTCTGAAGAGCTCCGGAAGAGCGGGCCACGTGCTTTCCGGTAGATTGATTCGCCGCCGCTATCGGACGACGAGCTTTTTTCTGAATCGATCGAGGGTGCCAACGACTTTTCATCTCCCGACTGATAGGCGTCCACTCCTTCACGCTGCTGGTAGCTTCTTTTTCGCGTCTCTCGGCCCGGGCTCGCCTCTACTCTGTCATCGGACGAGACGGGTCTTCGTCAACGCTGTCCCGGTCGAAGCTTGTCACCAAATCGGTCGTTCGTCTACGAGTGACGGCAGCCTTAGGTCGGCGATTCATTCACCCGGAACGGACGGCGACAGAAACCCGCCGCCTCCGTTGTCAAAGGTAGTATGTATGGCGTGCCGTGAGGAGTGCTGCGATGCTCCTGCTGCAGCTTGGTCTTGACGTATCAGGTGACGAAGCATCACCACCGCCACAGTTCCCCTGCTCCATTGAACTCTCGCAAGTTCTTGGTCGATTGAAGAGCAACCCGTCGCTCTGACCATCGCAGCCATGACCATGACCGCTGCCGCGGAATAGAATGGATAGCTCATGGAACCACTTCTAATCATACTTCCGTGGAATTCCTCTTTGAATCGTCACTCTTGTGCACATTCACGCGGCCACCTGATCCGATCCCTATTCGGATCCCCAGAATGACGATTGTGAGTTCTGGGAAATTTTCTGCACAACATGGGTCGTGTGTTGCTGTGAGAACATACGATCTCGAGCCGCATAGTTTCAAGTTCGCATTCAATGTGCAGATGGCACAATAACTGGGCTATCCGACGCTCAGACAATTCATGATCTGTACCTTGCCTGCATTGCAAGTAGCGGCGAGTGCTGGTCCTCCTTTACGACTTTTCCGGCTATGTATTCGGGAGAGTTCTCTCGTCGCCTCTCCCGATTATACCCGAGCTGTGACTTTCGGTTCGCGCCGCTGATCTCATTTGTTTTTCATCTCTTTGATTTGTCATATATTTCCATGAGATCCCGGTGCACAGTCACCCGTAGACAAATGTATTTCCACGGAATTCCCAAACCCTGCCCCGAGCGTATGACTCGCCCGCTCGCAATTATTCAACGGCAGAAAATTATCCGAGAGAGTCACCGAGAAGCCCTCTACTTGGAGTCGCGTAAATCAGGAGCAAGTGCCGCTTCGAAGAAGCCCGAATCAGAACTCGCGATCTTGAAAAATTCCTCCCGTCTGGAAATTCCTTCACACGTTCGACTCGAGAAAGAAACGTTGGTTCTATCCAGTTGAAATTTTCGAGCAGAACTGTATACAGCTCCAATTCATAGGACGCTGCCAATCACGTCTGTATCTTCTGGAATGACGAAACCGCTGCGGAATCCTTTTACGGAAACGAGTTAGTCCTTATCCGAACATCTACATCGATCAAAGAAATCGAGTCGGAGGAGGAACCTAAATCGCTCGCAGGTTCTGGTACTCCTCTCCTCCGAAGCTTCTCCAGAGCGTTCGAAGTCCGAATTCCCATCGTAAACGAAGCAGGCTACGGCGATTCCCAATGACTCACGGAAAATGACGCAGAGCGACGGGAGTCGACGATGATCGACGCAAATCGTAACGGTTGTCGAACCAATCACCGTGAATTGCGGGATTCAATAGGCAAACACTCCTCCGACTTCCTGTCGGCATCATTGACGCTGCGAATAGACCGATTATGCTTCTTAAAATCGTGAGGAACGGACGATTGCGAATCTAGAGCAGAGCGTTGAATGTCGGGGTCTTTTGACAGTGTTCCGCGTCTTCTTCGTCTCTCCGAAGCCATCTCAAGATTCCGGATGCTACCTTCCAGAAAATTGAGCGCAGTAACAATAAGCGCTTCCCTCGTCGAGGAGCGTGCGATATTCATTTCGTTCTAAATTGGCATGGTCGGGAGAACGGAGGAGGAAAATCATTTGCCACTCCCGCAGGAGGCATTGTGCCGAATTCGCTTTGAGGTATCCTCGCGCGGATAATGAAGTCTGCTTGGCGACAAGGCCTCACTCGAAGAAAAGATCGTCTACCGGGTATTTATCAAGTAGTATCAATTTTTTATCATTTTTCCGTCGCTGAGGGGAATAATTCGGTGTTTTGAGTTCTGACCTAATTGGACGCGATTTCAGTCACATTGCTGGACCCCGAGGTTTCGGACCAGTAGAAACGGAATACAAGCAGAGAATCGTGGATAGGAAGCGATTTTTCGCTAACATCCGATGGTCTGATGTTTAACATCATCCCCCCTGAGCCGTGCAGAAATTCTGCTCCTGAAGTCGAAGCTGGGCTCATATTGAGACGCTGCGCTGATTTGTCTCGCTGATCGAAAGAAAATTAATCATTTAACAATTGAATTCCTCCTCGAGTAGTAAAAGAAACCGATCCCCAGATTGTAATTTCGAGAGCCTGATGTTTCGAGAACATCGACAGTTCCTCCGCACTGCGGTGGCGAGTCGAAAATCCTCGCGGGATCGATCACTCTACTCGGGCATCCTCGGAACAAACTTCCAGATCCGGAAGATTCGAGGCTCTGTTCTTCTGCTCTGGGGCTACGGCATTTTTTCTCGCATTCCGGAGAAATGAAAACTGCTGGAGGAATACGCCACGGAACCGCATATCGGAAAAATCGATTCGAATTTTCGCCGCTGCATCACCCGGGGCATCACTCGGGGCTGCGGCTCCCGCATCTCACCGACCCTAACTTCAAGCCGGGGCATCTCAGCGACCGTGAAGACGCTCATGTGGGTTCGACAACGGATCCGGTGGACGATTTTCTTAGTTTTGTTTCTTCTTCATGACCGACTCAAGCGAACGAATCGAACGAGCGACGACGACGCGACGTAACTACGGCAATGCTTGAATTGCTAGCTATAATAATTTCGGTGGTGGAAGAATGTATTTTCTAGCGAGCGTAAATGTTTCTGCAGTTTTTCCGGGTTGAGCGAAATAAAGCCGACGGAAGCAGCTGTCTTGGAACTCTTCATAGATGACGGCTGTTACATTCGCTCTTGATTTTCCCGCGCGATACTTTCGCGGAGCTCATTTTCGAGCACCTTGCTCTGTCGTATCAATCGATTTTATGCATATCTGACCGAAACGCGTTCCGCTTCCAGGAAACATCCGCACCACTTTGCCCATGGGAGCTACGATAAACGTCACTTGGCATCTGGCCTATCCGCACAGGGTGAGTATTTGTACGGATATCGATCAATCAAGCGAGAAGCGAATCAATCACCATATCGGTCGAGAGGTTCGACAATGAATCGCTTTGATCGGTTATCGAACCGATCAAACCCGCATCTATGGCTCGGAGCCTCGACTCCCACCGAGCCTCACAATCGTGGACTTCTACAGAAACGTTTGGCTGCCAAGGACGCATGCCTCTTAGAGATGTCAAATGAACAGATCCGGATTTGAACAAATTCATTGTTCGGATGTACGCACGAAGGTGAAAGTAGGAGGTACCGACATGAGATATTGATCGTCTATCTTTCGATAGACCTTTCGGAAATATTGTGTGTTTTAAGGATGACAGATGTCTCGACCGGCTGCGGTCCCGAAGAGCACGCCTTCGTACGTGACCGAAAATTCTGTATGCCATCGAGAGTTTTGGGGGAATTTTTCGGGGCAAGGTGAATCAGTATCTGTGGCATATCAACGTACGAGAGTGTAATAATTCTGTTATTGCCTGACAATTTCCGTCCCCAACTTCCGTCAGGGTCGCGCACCATCCATCACTTTCCTCGAGTCGATTATGAGAATACTTCCTTACCCCCGAGGCTCGATCGTTGACCGTTGAATTCGGGATCTATCATCATCGATGCGGAGTCCCCTCCCAAGCGGGCCGCTGGACCTGCCGGTTGCCTGAGTCAGACCCTCCTTGCGCGACCCGTGCTCTTACGAGCGAGATCTAGAATCCCCCCGCGACGCACGTTACGCTTCTCTTCTCATCGTCAGCATTCCGAGCTGATTCCGTTTTTTTTCTGAAGATTTTCATTATTGATCTTCGGCCGGGGCCGCGACCTTCGGCTTCAGTATGCGCGGGTTTCCTTCGACGGCGAGGTAACTGTATCAACAACGACAAGATTGTACACATGCGGTCACACAAAGCTCGATACTGAATCGTTCGGCTCCGACAGCTCCAGACTGAAACCGCGGTGTTTTTTCCACTTCGCCGTGGATATCGGAGCTGCCGATTTCTTTTTTAACGCCTCCTTCGCCGACATGGAGTGAACTCGGAACTGAACGCGCAGGTCCCACGACCTTGTGCGTCGACCCGCCCAAGCTGGAGCTGATGGGTTGTCGGTCAAGCCGCCAAACTTGTTAAGAACAGTCCGAAGACTGTTCGCTGTTGAACAAAGCAGATTTTCTGTGAGTTCTGGATATACGGCGCGCTTCACCGCCTCCCCGACCGAAAGTCTCTGTTCAACTCTATTGTCATCTAAGGAACGTAGATGAGGTCTTCATGAGCTAAATACGAAACTCGCGTGGCCCTCGAGCAGAACTTCTGTACGTCAAGGATGCTTCGGAGCGACATTGTGACTCCAACGGAGAGAAAAAGTGATTTTTGCTCGCATGTGCTCCTTGCACTTCTCGGAGAGCATGCCGACCACATTTAGGCTTCGGGCGAATCCGCCGCTCCGAGTGAGAATCGTGCCAAGCCGTGTGCTCAACATTCGACGTTCCCGATGGGGCCGCGTGCCCCCTCCTCGCGGATTGACACTCAAATACGTTCCCCTGGTCGCAACTCGCAACGCGATTGAGAAGGCTGTCACTGAGTATGTCTGAGGGTTATGCATGCATGTATTATTATCGAAACGAACTTCTGTACTTCAATCCGAGGATTTCCAACGGAGGATATCGACCGCATATATACAATTATTGCGCGACCTTACTCTGGACAGATTCGTCGGGGCATCGGAGTTGGGGGTGCCCCACATTAGGGGGAATCCGATACATTATCTCTGCTGTCTACGATTCCCCACGAGGATTAATGAGGAAATCCTGAGAAGACGTCCGCTTTCTTCAATATCAGCAGACTTGGCCGGCCTCTCCTCATGTAGCCGGAGAACGCTTGATTCCATTCGCTCGAGCGGAACAGGATTTCCTCCCGCCGTCCAGATTTGATGTCGAGATGCATGACGCATTTTCGGAGGCAGTGATCGACACAGATCGCATCGGCTGTTCGGTTCAAAGCGATGCCCCAGCTGTCAGCAGCGTTTTGCTCTCGACACTTCGTCAAGTCATTCCCCACGGTCCATTTTTCTTTCTTCCGTCGCAAACGCCGTCACAGCTCGCGAAGACAACAACAACGGCATCAACAACATCGGCTACCACACGACCGCTACACGAGGGGCACCATCGGCAAGTTTGGTCAGACTGCTGTCATTCTAAATGACTATCAATGTTGCCGACCTTGGCTCAAGGTCGCGGCGCTTTGTCGGGAGCTTGTGACCGTTGCACGGTGGTAGGCAAGAAGAACAAGCTTCAGCTAGCCCGCCGCGTACCACCACCATGGTACTAGGGGGGGGGAACTACCGAAGCGAGTATTGAATGGACGATACATCCAAGCGTCTTCATTACGATCCATCATTTTATCATAAAGCTTATCTAGTGAAGCCAAGCCATAAAGCTTCCAACACACTTAACCAACAAGCGGCCCCGCTTTTCGACGATGGTCGTTGAGTGCCATCGAGAAAAAAGGGAACCTTAGACGATAGTATCGACAATAATCAGATCCCGAATGAGGCTCTCCTGGAAAACGCATGCTGCAACGCCCCAAGAATAGCTTCTGTTCTGAATGATCGCTGCTGATAAGGAAGCGGCTGACTCATGATACGGAAAAGACCCCACCGCTGTCCCCAGAAGTTTCCTGCATGATCCCAAAACAGAAGATTCTCACCGGAAGAACAGCGTTCTCCATCTTCCCGAATCCGATCTAATTTCGCGACTCGATACCGCTCATGAGTATGGCAATCAAACGTCGAACGGCGTCGATTGGAATTAATGTTTTCTCACCCACGTCGGATAGCCGGGCCTCAATGAGACGACCTTCAGCGTTTTGGCTTCGCGTCTGCGAATCGTACCCAGGGAAATCATATCAGTCGCGGATAGAGCGATTTCTAGATACGGAACATGTACGCCGAGAATCCCATTCAGCCACAAATATCGGTTCTGCCAACAGCTTTTCCAATACTAGTCTGCTCTACGGCGCCAGCTGACGTACATGCAAGCGGCCAGCACGCAGCGACGGTAGCCCTCCGGAATGACCGAAGATTAGATGATGTCGATTCTACAGATTTTGTAATTGATCGCGACTTATCGCTGCAGATCATTATTTCCAAAGGGCTAATCCGGAGCTGAGCGAAAGTTTAATAAGCTGTACCGAAACGTTGTGAAATATGATTACTGCACGAGCCAGTCGGCGCTTGGTAATTTCCTCGCCCAAGGGTCGTATACAGGATCTCCGCTCGGGGAAATAACAGCTCCCGAAGTCTGTGCGAGGATTTCAAGCATCCCTGACCGCGGCATGGCTGAAATTGGAGAATCATATCGACCTTGGTTGTGGATGTCACTCGATGGTCTAACACTCAGACGTTGTCTTTTTCGGTTTTTCCAGGGTGGCTATAAAGTCGAGCTTCTGGACGCGAACGAGAAACACGTCATGGACCTGACACCAAAGGATCAATGGCTCGGCCTCGACGACGCAACGTAAGTCCCGGAGCGAACCCGGAACGAAAGCGCGTTTGAGCTTTGTCGCCATTTGGATGAATAGTGGGTCGAGCCGTCGGACTGTGCGTACTGAAGATTTGTTTTGGCAATTCGGCGTCGACCAGAAAATCTCCATATATATGATGTCTTCGTCGCGACCGCGGCGGCCGCAGGTGTTGCGGTCGATGGCCAAACGGACACGGCCATTTTGGTTCCTCGCAAATTTCAATCGTCATGCACTCGGTACCCGATAATAGTTCGCAAGTCTCTCGCAATACTCTTATTCATAGCGTGCATATCGATTGTTCCAAATGAAGGTTAATAGATACGCTTGAAAGCTTCATTCCAATCTTTCGACTCAATTCCCCCCATAGAAATCTCGAGCGTCCCGGTTTCTCTGCTCAGTCAGAACTTTTAGTTTTTTATTTTGAAAAACTGACACCATTCGGCAGATTCCCACTGAGTATCAAAGGCAGAAAGCGTTTAAAAGGACGTGAGAATCTCGGCTCTGTGGTCTTCAAATGGGGAATCGCACGGATTGCGGCTTGTCCCAATTTACTCCGGTGTGATTTGCTCCCCCAAGGAAGATTTCGACTTTCGGAGGGAAAATGTGTTCTGGCACACCGCCCGTTTTTGCGGCAGGATTTCCCGCTATGTTTATCTTATGAGCCCGAATTTCAGTCCATAATTCTGTGGCTGAGACAGAAAAGAAGCGAATTTAATCCCACACAACATGACGGAAGATATTTCTCAGCGGTGGAGGAGGCATAAAAACGAAACATCCGTTTTTGCGGCACCTGCAGCCGCGGAACTCTTGTGCAGATTTCAATTTGAAAGATCGACAAACTGTTGAAATTCAAGCCCCGGGTCGCATGCCCGATGTTCCCAGTGCTCCAGGGCATCAGGTCCGGGCTTTTCGTCATCGTAGACGCCGGCATCCGAAGGAATTTCCGCCCTTCCACTGAACACCTACTTCGTCCAGAAATCTATCCGGCGCGCAACCGCGTGAAATCGTTATTTCCTTGTCTCAGGCCCGGAGTGATCTTTGATCTCTGACGTGTGGCTTGCTCTCTCCTCCGGCGCGGGCATCGTTCTGCGCTCGACAATCAAACGGCTATTATGTTTATTCACTCGGGACCGATCGGTATTTATTTGCCGCGAAAGTTCCCAGTCCAGTGGAATCGTTCTTCCGAAAACAGCAAAAGTGATGGAAAACGAATACTGCGGTGAAAGTCCCCTTCCATTTGATTTGCTCCAATGACTGCTATCACAAGTTGACATTCACTGCGGTGCCGAAAGAACTCAGCGGCGACGACGCGGCATTCCGCCGTTACAGATCGCGGGAGTCGCGATCAAAAAATTATTCCTTGAAACATTTCCGACGGCGACTTTTTCATGATGTTCCGGGTCAGTCAAGTGACTTTTTTAGATTCTATTTCCGAAACGGAGTCAGATCTGATGATTGAGACGACAAAAATCCACACTGTCGGTGCGTCGTTTACCATAATTCGACGGTCGCTCCTCCCAAGGGGTGTCTTCCGATTCTCGAAATGCCGGGGCTATCCCGCGAGCGGTTCAGTCGTGATCCTCGCTCTCGAGCCGTGATACTTTTAGTTTTTCCACCGATCCCCGAATCGAGTTAGGAAATTAATACACTGAATGAGCGATGATCTGAAATTATCTTACAGAGCCCAGGCTGTGACGCTGAAGCTTCCCCGATCGCTTCCATGCAAGGGCTGCACGATACGTCTCGTTCGACAAGCCGGAGAATGGGGGAAAACCTACCTATTCTGGAGCTGTGCCGATATAGATCTCATCTCTGTACAGGAGTTCACTGTTGTCTGTTCCGGCAAAGGACACATAGAAGGTGGTCACTGCGTCTGCGACCACCTATACGCAGGAAACGTCTGTCAGTATAAGGTGAGTCACAATTTGCGATCGACGTTCGCGACAGCGATCCTATGGCACCCTCCCGGCTTGACGACCATCGAGTAAATGCCCCAGACGATGGATTGATCCTGATGTCGGGCATTTTCCGGACCCCGAAAGGCGTAGTCATGTCTATGAAACTAGCCGTTGATGGACGGGGGCGTGCCCGAGACTCGGTGCGAATCCCGACACGGATTCGGTATCTCTCACAATCGAAAACTCGGAGCTCGGGCGGATTCGTATACGGATGGCGGTATATACGATTTGCCTGTTGTCACTTTCATTCCGGGAACTCCGCCCTGGCGGAATGTGAAGTACTTCTTACCCGAGAGGAGCGGGTCTTAGCCCGGGACCGACCTTCGAAAATTGGCGGGAGAATTTATTACAATTCCAATGCTCTTCCAGGATGAATGCTGGACTGATTCGGACTGTGGTAGTCATGGACGCTGCATCAATCTGGACGCAACAAGTTACCCAAAGATGCAGTGCTTCTGTGAACCGGGCTGGTTCGGGGAGAAATGCGACAAGAAATCTTCGATCAAAGTCCCTAGCAGAAAAGACCTCGGCAGCTACAAAACGAAGCGGCTCTCCGACAAATTCAACTTGTACTGGAAAATCATGGAGGTAAGCACTTGGTCACATGAGCGTCATCAGCTCGGTCCTCGGCGGAATATTCTAAAGGGCCAGCGCGGCCTAGATGAGAAGAACGATGCGTATACTGCTGCACGGTATATTTTCGGTGTTTCGGGGAAGCTAGAGGCGCTTACAGTGAGGGACGGACTGTACTGGACACGGTATTTTCTCATTACACAAGCAGCGTAATTTACGGGGAGCGATGCCGGCGGCCAGCGACGGTGAGGACACTAAATGGCGTTGCTCAAGCGACCTTGGTTGTTTTCTGGTAGCGAATCGATTCAACCCACAGCTTTCCGAACCCTAACGGAAAATCAATGATATGCGCGGAAGATGAGATCAGTGACTGTCCGGGATGCCGGTGCAAAATCGTATTTGGATCCCTCAGTATAATCATAGCTGCATCGCTCCTCGAGCACGCTACACTTCGACAAACGCCTGGTTATCATCGATTCCGGCCATTGTGCCACTCCAGGGAGACCTGAGAGTCCGAACGTTTCATGGTGTTCATGGGGACCAGGAATGCGGAGCGCTTCAAGTTGAAGAACACGTTGAGAAATACCTTACGCTCACATTACGGTGGAGATGTCTCAACAGGAGGCTTCGGCGTTGACACTGCTCAGAGATTCCCCTCGCCGTCATCAGTTTGAGGCCCAGTGTCTTTCTTATTCGACACTTGCGCAATTCCAAACCCATGACTATGTACTATTCGTCAAGTCGTACGATCGCTCAAAAATATCAAAAAATCTTCGTGACGATACATGGCCCCTGCGAAAGTTTTCGGTCCCAATACTAGAGCATGGGCCCGGAGGAGGCGCGTCGTAGTCTTCAGCACATGCTTCCCCCCAGAATCCGTCGTGCCCCTCTCTTCCTGTTCCGAAAACGAGATTAGCACGCCCCTGCTCAGTACGCCGTCTGTGAGGGATCCGACTAATGTATCTGAACTTCCTTCCCAGGATCAGGGCGAAATCGAAATGGTCATGAAAGTTAAGGGGACAACGTACGCGGCTGTCGGATGGCGTCCGAAAGGCATCTCAAGAGACTGCAAAGCTTTCCCTGTCATCGGGGCACCGAATCGGAGCAGGCGAGACACTGAATCAGAAGCTGATGCTGAAGACGCGGAAGGTGATGAGGAAGAGGAGAGCGAATCCGAGGAAGACGTATCAGAAGAGTCTGGTGCGGAACCCGAACCCAAATCAGAGCCTGAGCCGAAGTCCGAACCCGAACCGAAATCAGAGCCTGAGCCGAAGTCCGAACCCGAACCGAAATCAGAGCCTGAGGCCGCGTCTACAGAGTCCGAAGTCGACAGCAAATCCGATGAGGCTGCTAAGTCCGAACCAGCACCGGAGCCTGGTGCACAGCATGGAAAGAAGTCCGGATCTATATCAGTAGCTTCGAGTGAGGAGCGTAAATCCGAACCGGAACCGAAAGCGGAACCCGAACCTGGATCCTCTTCTGAGGGGCGTTCAGACGAGACCGACTACGAAGCTTCGGAGAGCGATTCTAAGGCAGAGCCCGAACCAAAGTCCGAGGCGGAGCCAAAGTCTGAGCCCGAACCTACATCGGAACCAGGAGCAAAGTCGGAACCCGAGCCGAAGTCGGAACCTAAACCACAGTCGGAGCCCGAATCAAAGTCAGAACCCGAACCAAAATCGGAACCCGAGCCTGAAACAGAGCCCGAACCGAAGTCTGAGCCCGACGCGAAATCCGAGCCAGAACCCACATCGGAACCAGAACCCAAATCAGAACCTGAACCCAAATCAGAGCCCGAACCTAAATCAGAGCCCGAACCTAAATCAGAGCCGGAGCCCAAGGCAGAACATGAGCCTAAATCAGAGCCCGAGCCGAAAACTGAGCCTGAGCCAAAGTCAGAGCCCGAACCTACATCCGAGCCCGAGCCAAAATCTGAGCCGGAGCCCAAATCTGAGCCCGAGCCCAAGACTGAACCTGAACCTAAGTCCGAGCCTGAACCGAAGACAGAGCCCGAACCCAAATCAGAGCCAGAGCCAAAATCTGAGCCCGAGCCGAAATCTGAGCCTGAGCCTAAATCCGAACCTGAACCCACGACGAAAGTGGGAGCAAAATCCGACAGGGAACCGAAGAGCGGGAGCGAATCGAAAAAGGTGAAGGCCTCAGTCTACAACGGCCGAGCATTATCCTCATCCAACAAAAAAGTATATCCGAAGAAGACTGCGTATACGCCTCGAGCTGATTTCCACGCTATGGATTGTACGGATATTGTCATCGGCGTCGCCAGAGGGAACTTGAGCCGAGTGTACGACTACTACACAAGAGATAGATCAACGCCGAAAGTTGACTCGTTCTGGGGAGGTGAAGATCACATCACGGCGGCGACTGCTTATGAAGCTAATGGGGAAACCGTCGTCATATTCAGGTACGTGAGCACTACCCCTTTACGTTATAGGGACATGCCACCTTGTGGATTTTCAAGTTGGTATAAAAGGTTTCGAGTAATAATTGTCTAAATCATGCTGTCACGCATATCTCATATTATTCAATTTATCAGTATTCTCGCTCAACTCTATAGACATTCATCGTTGCCTTTATGGCTTCTCAACTCACAAACTAAGAAATGCGTTGCTCTTAAAATCAGCAGTCAGTGAGCTCCTTCGCAAGACGTTACCTCTCATGGGAATGCTACAGTAGACATGTATCTCAGTCTCACACAAGGCAGACAAGCTCTATGACGGGAAGATCGGAATACTTCCTCGATATTTCGTTCTATCTTATTCGTAGACAGACTACACAATTTATTGCTATCGTCGCCACGAGAATAGCGGCCGAGCACCACGAGCCGTGGTTGTCCGAGACCGCACTGAGAAGGATGCCTATCAAATGACTAGAAATGCGATCCGTGGCTGAGAATAATCCGAAATGAGAGAGTCGCATGCTCTGTGGGAGCTGGGAGTTGACCTCGAGGAAATACAGGATGAAGAATGCCGTCTCGAGACCGTTGAACAAGCCCTCGATCGCGAGAAGGTATAGGCCTGAGCTCTTGAAGATGCCCGTCATCGATGATATCCCGAAAAAACACCAGTGAATGGCAGCAAGAGCGACGCCGCTGCCAAGGACGTCGTTTTGAGCATCGTTAGGAGGTGATTCTGTCTGACGAAGGTGGCGGCGACGACAGCGCCTAGAGAGTCCGACGCGAGAATCAGGGCGGGCAAACCGAGCAGCCCAATTATTGGATGCAGCCCCCATTTGACCAAATGAGTCGGTGTCACTTTCCAGGACAAGAATATTCCGGGAAGACGTCGAACGCTCATGTAGAGTAAGAGGCCGTGAGAGGATCTCAGGACGTGGAGCATTTTCGGGTACACATCGAGCTGCTTCCTCGAGACGAGCTCTCTCGCACTGCTCTTCCTTTTACCTGGAGTCGATTCCTCAGACTCACTGTCGCTTTCCTTCAGTTTCCTTCTTCTTTTCTCCGAGCTTTTCAAGGAGATATTATCCTCTCCATCGGATGTGAGAGCAATCCTATCCGTGTCGGTGGTGACTCCGGGGACACGCTTGATGGACACAATAATGAGGCTTAGAACAACGAGACCGAACGTGAATTGAAGGTAACCGACCGGTACTTTGTAGTAAACGCAGCCTGTCAGCAGCGTTTTGCCGACTCCAAGACCGGCGTAGAGTGAGCTGATGCAATAGGCCCAACAGACGACGCGTTTTGAGAGTCCGCCTTCTTTGCTCAGAATGTCGTTCGTTAGTGACATCAGTAAACTGAATGCCAGGCTTGCCAGAAAATGCAGAGTAGTGAATGAGAGAAAGACCGGTAGAACATGTTTTCTCGGCATATCCAGAGCGAGGAAAAGACCGCTTGCCAACACTATCAATGACGCTTGGCAGAGCCGTTTCCGAGAAATGAACGACGATACACGATTCTCGATGAAGTGCAGCGCAAAAAATGCGAGAAACCACGGAGTCGTCGAAGACAACAACAACAAATAGCTACCGAGAGGTCGGGCGTTCTCGCCTTTCGAATTGAAGAATATGGTGTGCACGAAACTTTCCATTTGACCCACGCACATCCCGATACCAAGAAACGCCATCGGTAAAAGCATTATGGATAGAAGATATCCCATGGTGCACTTTCTAAATCAAGAAGAAATCCCTTGACACCATTCAACAGCGGTCGGAAGAGATTTCTGACCGAGAACACAACTCTGTTTACACGTTGTCGATGCTCCTACCACCTGTCGGAGAGATGGATTCTGCTCGGATTTGTGGGATGGAGTGGAGTGTTCGAAAATGTGCATGCAGCCGAGGATACGACGACGGCACGCAATCTCCCAAGAATTGGGAGGTCCGACTGCGTTGATTGCATCGTTCCCTCGTTTCTCCGTCATAATACTTGAAATGGGTCAATGAATCATTCTGCCGGTCGAGTCTGCTGTTGACAGAAAGTTTTTGTTTCGTCTGTTCGACAATCTTTCCCGCAATCACGTGCCCCAGCTGAACACGCTCTCCGAGCGGTCTCTCCAGTGGGCTGCGCGACCACAATCGTCGAATCATCCCTATTCCCAATCTGATTCATATCGTCTCGATTTTGCCGCTCGGAATTCGGAGTTGTCCAATCATCACCACGAATGACGATACATAATTCCTCACTGCGGCAGCCAACCTTCTGTCTCCGGGGACGAAATTTAATTCGGAGACCCTCTTCCAGAAAACCTTTGATCTCCGACGATATGGCAGACCACAGCTTCGAGAACGAGCTCATGGACGTCATCTGGGCGCAGGGTCAGGAACACGGAAATTACGTCCATCAGCCAAAAACAGGTCTTGACCAAGGCAGAGCGAAAATACTCGACTTCTACCGACAAGACGAAATCAAATATCATGGACACAAGAGTCAGCGGGGTAAAACCACCATCAACTTCCTCAGTGAGTACTTGTTTTCTCTCTTGATGATAGTCGACGACCGCGCCATTGCCGAGTGGATCCCAATGTTTTCTCTCTGTTCGATCGGAGCAGAATTCTTGTTTTCATTACAGCCAGACTGAGCGCGTGGTTCGACTCCGTTCCAATAGATCCATTGAGGTCGTACAGACATTTTCCATGGCTCTTAGTGTGAGATCGTATTTCGATAGCTCGTTCGCTCGTTCTGAGCCTACAGCTCTATCCATCCGACTCCGCATCGCCGAATGCATCTCCTAAGCGCTTGAGTTCGGATGAAATTATCCATCGGGCCCTTCCTCCATAGCGTCAGTGCTACGTCCCATGAAATCGGGATCATGAGAACATACAGTACGGCTCAAGTTCTTTGCATCAGGCTCGTTTATTAGATCACAGTGAGGGAAATTCCCAGACAACAAAATGATGTCAGATGCTCCACTTCGAGCAGTTTTCCGCTTTCCATTTACAAAGTGTACATACATGCTTGAGGGCACGAGATAAAGTCTTCGAAATGATATGTATATATCCATCAAGGCACGGATGGGACGCCGCTTCTAGCGATTATCTAGTCAGACGTAATAGAGTCCGTCAACTCGTCTGCTATCTCGTATGGTGTCTGCCAGACGACGGAGGAACGAGCCTGAAGCCGGCGAGACAACTTCCAACCAGGAGATCCACGTGATCGATCTCGGCTCTCTTCGAAGTTTTTTTCTTGACGATGTGACAGACTCCAATGCAATCCACACTCGTCCATGAACGAACTTTACACGAGAGTAGGAGATCAGTTGCCGAGAGGACTTTGGCCGTGAAATGCACTTCGATCTTCTTCGTCAAACTCCGGCCGTCCTCTCCCAGCCGCATCTCGAGCTCTCGCTGATAACGAGTGATGTTCACAACCTGGAGTCGTCCACAACTCTTATCCATGTGGGGACCGGATATGGGCAGAACGTCCAACTGATCCCCGACGCGAACGGCGATGGGCGAGAACGCGAAGCCTTCCTTCGCGGAGTCAGAGTAGAAATAATTACACGGATCGTTCCGCGTCTCGCTCTCAAAGGTGATGCGTTTCCCGTAACCACGACCCACGCTCTCGAGAAGCATCGGCTGACCATCGAACAGGTAGTCGGGCGAATCACTGACGCGAACTTTGTACAGGAATCCCGGGATGACCCTCTTGTCGACGTAGGTGCCTATGACGGGCAGTTCGTGCTCTTCCAGCCGAGCTCCGATGTCTTCCACTCGCGAATCATCGATCAAAACCTCGTTCTTGACACTGCTCACAGAATTCACGGGTTCAGAGGACGTGGGCTTGAATTCCAGAGAGCCTTGCGTCATCATCAATAACAAAAGCGCTGATGAGGATGTTCTATGATGGTTTCGTGAACGAGAACTGTTTCCGGTGAATGCTGGAGCTCCAGTGATGATCTTCCTCAGGGTACCGGCAAAGGCTCATCTTATCTCGAGGAAGAGAAGTACTACTATTGCGGCGCGCCGAGGAGAAAGGGCACTCCGACAGTCAAGCGAGTCCGCTGTTCGAGTTTTCCCGGAGTTCGGTGCAATGTCCTGCAAGTCAACGATTGCGGTCATTCCAAGCAGACAGCGGGGCACATGTCGAGCGAAACTCCCGCTCCCGTCAGCGTAATTTTCCACTGGCACCACTCAGTTCGAGCAGGATCTTCACAGAATAGCTCCGAATGTTCGTGAAGTTTCGCCCCAATGGACTCTGATTGGCCTGGGACTAAGGGAGTCGGTGCAGCTTCAGGGTCGAGGCACACCTTGAGGGCACGTGTTGCACGCGGCAAAACAACTCGTAGGGGGAGGAGCTTTTGCTGATATGACTGGTCACCGCAGCCGGATGACCGGTGACCGGTCGGGCATCCAGCGCATCCAAGAGGCCGATGGTGTCACATGTATCGTGAGCACGTCATTCATTGCTGTGACGGCATTGGGACGACTCGACATAGCGTGTTCCAGCAGTCAGACAGCTGTTTGAGATTCGGGCTCCAATGATTCCTCCGGGAGCGCGGATGCGGCGACGAATGAGATCAAAGGCGTGACCCTGTCTTCGAGAGATTCGGAATATAAGCTCGGGAAGACTTCTCCCTTCGTTGAAAATTCCGTAGACGTGACTCGATTAAGGATTTATAAGGGAATCTGGACGCATAGGAGAACTCATCACAGATTATGCTCACGCGAACCATCAGATTTTAATTATCTTATGGCATGGGATCGGTCAGACAGTCGGTCTGATGATCATCGAGCCTAATCAGAGAGCGAGATCGTCGAACATGAGTGTTTTCCGAAATCTGCCGCTCTCCAACATAATCTCGGCATTCTTGCGATAACAACTGTGCTCCTAAAAGCGACGGAGGACATCAGCTGCAGAATCATACTAGGGAGAGAAAGACACGAAAATTTTTTGAGATTTTTCACCTGCGGCACCTTGGATGGTTCCTGAGCTGAATAGCGCTCAGGAAAGCACCCGATTGCCTTATCTGTTTAGAAAATAATTCGAAATATCTGCATTGCAGGCGCTCAGAAATCTTCTGGAACCACCTGCCATGGCGAGTTCCAATACCCGTCTGGTTGCTCGGGACTACAATGTGACTATGCTGTCGAATGGACGCTCGACTCAGACAAAGACGAGGTTCGTTTCCGGGTCCAGACCAGATTCCCGGATAAATGGACTGGAATTGCTTTCTCGAAGGATGAAAAAATGGCGAGGAGTGACGCCGTCATCGGATGGGTCGAGAAAACAGGACGATTCTACATATATGACGCGTGAGTTTCGCGGCTGGCAAGAGTATTCTTCGCGGGTGGCGGATTAATTCCACTTCGCGCGATTCTAAGTTTTTCTACAGATGTACTCCTACTAATTTGAAATATTTGAATAATACTAATAGCCTTATCCACATCGAGAGGAGAATTCGACCGGATGTTGTTCGTTCCATGGTGGCGCGTTCCATCGAGGGAATCACTCTCTCGTGGCCTACGGGAACTAAAGGAAAACTACACAATTTTCCAGATTCATGTCGGGCTATGGCCAGCCGACGATCGACTCGTCGAACAACGTTTTTAACACCAGCGGATCGCTCCGTAACGGACTCGTCACGATCGAGTTCACTCGTAAAAGAGATACTGGAGACAAGGGCCAGGACTTACGACTTGACGAATGTCTCTATATGCTATACCCCGTCAAGGGCGGATCATATAACAGCGTTATTAAACGAATCGGCAAACACGACACGACCCCTATCGTGTCCAGCGACCAGATTTGTATCAAGCCCTGCGTCGGTAGCATCACCGATTCTGGTCCGAGAGCTGAACCCGAACCAAAGTCCGAGCCGGAACCTAAATCGGAACCGGAGCCCAAATCCGAGCCAGAGCCGAAAGCTGAACCTGAGCCGAAATCAGAGCCGGAACCCAAAGCGGAGCCAGAGCCCAAATCCGAGCCTGAGCCCAAATCCGAGCCTGAGCCCGAATCCGAGCCCGAGCCCAAGTCCGAACCCGAGCCAAAGTCGGAGCCCGAACCAGAACCCGAGCCCAAATCGGAGCCCGAACCGGAATCCGGTGACTGCGGTGGCGAGTTCCGCTATCCAGAGAATTGCCAGGGCGAGTCTTGTGAATACAGGGCACATTGGGAGTACCAAGACGACACCGACATGGTCGACTTCACCATCGCGACCCGGAGTCACAAATGGACTGGGATTGGTTTCTCGAAGAACCGGCAAATGTCTGAAACCGATGCTATCCTCGGCTGGGTCGAGGAAACGGGTCGTTTCTTCATCATGGATGTTTGGATGGACAACTACGAAGCCCCGCTCCTGGACCCCAGCCAGGATATAGCAAAAATGGCGGGAGCGCGAGTGAACGGCATCACGACCCTGAAGTTCTCGCGTAAGAGGTCCTCGGCAGATCGAACCCATGATCTGCAGTTCACTGACAACCAATGCTTGTACGTCATGTTCCCGACTCAGGGAGGAGTTTTCAACGCTGTGTCGAAGAAGATCCGGAAGCACGATGCCATACCTATCGTCTCGCCGCAGCCGATTTGCATCAGAACTTGCAGTGAGTTTTGAGAAGTCGAAGGAAAAATCGCTAGGATAGTCCCTTGCTTGGTCAGAGAGAAGTCAATTGCGGAGTTTCGAATCGTTGTACCAAAATTTGAACGCGAATTTCAGAAGCCTCTTCCCAGTCTGCTCATCCCGAGCCCGAACCTACAGCTGAACCGGAACCGGCACACCCAGAGCCGGAACCGGAACCTCCAGCATCTCAGCCTGACTTCAAGGAGCCCACTGGCTCGGTCCAGGTCGAACAGCCGGAGGTTTATCTGGTCAAGGTGAAACTCACCGAACGATGGTTGAACGATTACAAGAGTCAAGGCTCAAACAAATACGATCGACTCACGAAACAGATCACGAATTCGGTAAGCCAAGGCATAACCCTCGTTTTTCCGGAAGGATCGCTCTCGGAAATCAAATGATCGAAATGACCACGATTCCGTGAAGGATCCCGAAAAACGCTTATCGATTGCTTATTTGGCTGATAGGTGGGCACCGCACTTGTTCAAATTCCTGGCTTCCAACGTTTGGAGCTGAGATCTCTGAAGGGCGATCCATCGAACGAGGTAATATACGCTGAAATGAGCGTCATCTTGCGTCCTGAAGAAGACGAAGGCGCCATCACCAACGTCCTAACCGAGACGATCAAGAATGGAAAACTCGGGAGGAATCTTAATGTCGATCCGGCCTACCTGGTCGTGCGACCGTTGCTCCAGGAGGAGGAAGACAACGCAATCATCACGAACAACGGTACGTCAGCGCCGGGCGAGCGCATATCGAACCCCCCGATTCGGAAGTCGTGGGTGTATTCTCTCTGTCATGATAATTCTACCGACCCATGAAAATAATTCCAATCATTGCAGTGAGCGGAGCGGACGAGCCAGTCAAAACCATCGCTGGAATCGAACAAACGAAATTCATCATCATCGCGGCCGGAGTAGGAGCCCTGATCTTCCTGATCCTACTGCAAGCTTGTTGCATGATTTGCCGCGATCGAAAAAATCGCGCTAAGATCGCGAATAGGGTGAGCAGTCTGACGGTCCATTTTGTCAAAAAACGCCCATGGGAATGCAGACGCAGGAGACCCTCGAAGGCAAGCGAGTCTGAGACGTATGTATGTTTTTCTCAGGAAAAGCTACTGATGGGACCCAACTGGAAAGACTATTCATCAACTTCGAACTACAGCTATGAGAACTTTGCGATGAAAGACGACTCGCCCACAATGGAGGGTCCTCCCGCGAGGAACGGCGGTAGTCAACATCGAGGCAACGGCCAATCGAATGGTAATGGCCATGCCAACGGAAATCATCATCCACCCTCTGCTCACGGGCAAGCGAACGGTGGACGAACGCACGGTACGTTTTTCGAGGGTAAACCCAACTGCGAATGAGCACGTAGCATGTAATGACGTCCCGTAAAATTTAGCGTGAATGATTATCATAAACTCTTCCGTTGCAGAGCGCCGATCGCACCACCAGAGTCGAGACCGACTCGACGGCGGGCCGACGCGTCCCGGCCCGCGGGACTACCCGATGCGAGAGCGTTCGATGCCTCGTCCAGCCGATAGGGCGTCGCGACCCCAGAGTCAAGCGGAGAGCAATCCTGATTTCTATTTTATGCCATCGCAGAGGAGGTACTCGGGAGAGGTTGTCAGGGTGTTCGTAGACAACCCCGATTACAAACTGTGAAGGTGTAAAGGTAGCTCTGAGCTCGCACAGTCCTAGCCCATTCTGCTCAATTAAGCAGCTGTTCGGTTGAGAAAAAATCAGTCTGATTGAGTTCCGGCGCATTCTGAGCTTGTGTTGTTCATATCTGCGGGCGCTTCGAGTCTTGTAAATATAATTCATTACCTAGTATAATTTGAGTTAGGGAAAACGACGACTGCATGGCCTGAAGAATCGCACCGGCTTCACCCTTCTGCGATGGGACGAGTCTTCGGTGGAGCCATTGCACTCAAGTCTTACGTACTAATATTCTTAATATTATTGTTAATGCTGCGGGGAGATTCTATTTAACTTGAGCACCCATCAGAGGGATTCGCTGTTGGGGTGAAATCCCGGCTTGAAATCCGACATAGACTTAGAACGTGACTGTTGTAGAAACAGAAACACGAATGCCATAATTGAAAGACATCTAGGTAGACACTGAGTTGTAAATAAAAATAAGTGATAGAGATAACAGAAATCGACAATGATCGTGTTTATTTTTAGAGCATACCTACATGGAAGGGACACTATGATGAGGCGTTCTCCGATCTTTTTCTTTAAACGTCGGACACGACTCGTTCCAGCACCAATGGATACAAGACGAACGAGATACGACTGAGTGTCTATGACAATGGAGGCTCTCCTGTCTCGGTATAATCTCAGCCATACGTGTCGCTGTTTCCAGAGCTCGATACGGACATGTCAGCTCAGTCTTCGGAGCAAGTCCGCATCTCATTACAAACCCTCGACGGCGAGACTTGACGCTCGGAGAGCTATTGAAGGCTCGACGATTAACACATATCGTCGACGTCGCTCGATTGCAATTTGGCGAACCTGATTATGTGTTCCCGAGTTTTACGGTGCCTCTCTGCATCGCTGTTGATATCGAAGGTCTGCGGAAGCGGAGAGGGGAATAATTTACGGAGATTGTCTCGAGCCGGAGTCATAGAGTCAGAGACAGTTGCCTAAATCAAAGAACTCACCTCACAGCACACCGGACAGAGGCTTTTGCGAACTTCATGCAGAGGCTCTTTGTAGGTCAGGAACGACTTGTAGAGCTCCAAAATTTCGAGCATGGCAGCGTCTTTGATTCTAAAGATTGGATGAGGCCGGAAGAGGATCTGACGTTGGCCGACATCGTCCTGAGGAAAGATGGCACCCCATCAGAAGATCTACATCATTCCCGATCCACCCAGAAAACGGCTGAGATCGATACTCATGGAGAATTCACGTTGAGGGCTCCGAGAACCCACCTTTACACACGAGGATGCTTCGATGAGCCCCCATTTGAAGGACGGCGCTGGGAAGCGCTTCTTGGAGGTCCGATGTCTCTCTATCGGAACTCGATCGGTGATGTTGAAGAAGCGCATTGTGTAATCCTCGATTTTCTTCTGAATTTTCAGAATCGGAACCGATGTCCACTCGAAGACCTCATTATTGCCACAGAAGGCTTCATTGAGCAAGCGACGGATTTCGTTGATGATTTTCACGTCCGTTCGGTTGAGTTCTTGACTGAAGGGCACCTCCAAATCGGTGAATTCACTGACGGACACGTAGGTCCCGTCTTCTTTTTTGAGGCCGCCCATCCCGCAGATCGCACCGACGAACTTGGACTGATTCTCATTGCAACGGTACTCGGCACGGGGAGTGAACACAAGTGCCATGAAAGGAAGCATCATCGGCAACTTTGTCATCAGCGTAGACTGCAACAGCTGAACTTTCTTCAGGTCCCCCGACAATTTAGTCTTGTGTCCCACCACGAATTGCTGGTACGTGTCCGTCGACCCAAACAGCACGTTATTAATGCTAGCCGACGTGATCTCTACGATCTTGCTGGCGGAACCTCTGCTCAGGGGCAAGAAATCTCTCGTGTTCGTCAACGGCGAAGAGGGACCCCTCAGTGATATTGTGCCGAGGCCATACGAGTTCAGGTTGACGAACTCCTCGCCTCTCAGAATCAAATTCTGAACCGAGTCCAGCCTAGACTTGTCCCGAGAAAACTCCGGCTCTCGATCCTGAATCAGGTGTTTGTCATAGACAAGCTTGTCGTTAATACTGACTTCCTGGTCGTCCAGCTCAACGAATAGCGTGACTCGCAGCGTGTCGTTCACAATCGAGAAAATCTCCGCCCGACACTGCTTATTTTTGCTGAGCAGTTGATATTCGACCGCTTCTCTGATGCAGCCATCAGGAACTTTGACGTGGGCTAGCTGCGCTTTGTAGGCGAAAGGAGCCTCAGAATTGCAAAGCAGCATAGTCTCGGGCATTTCATATACGACGGGCACGAACTCGGTGTTGCCGTAGTCGATGAAGAACACAGCGATGTCCGCTCCGTGCCTTCGGAATCGTTGAGGGCCCTTGGGAACGTCTTTGACGACACGAGCTCGGTAGAATCCTCCCTCATACTCCGCTATCACCAGAGCTCCAGCCTCGGGTCGCTCGAGAGGGACGAGCTTCCCGCCTCTTCTCGATTTTTCATCTGAAATCTCATTGAGTACGTCCGACAGTCTGGCACTCCGTTCCTCCGGAACCATGTAGAACGTCAATATATCTTCGAACCAAGTGAGTTTCCCCTTGAATGATTTCTCCGTCGGCAAGGGCGGCTTCTTGAAGCTTCGCACCATCTTCTGAGGCATGGGCAACACCGCGATTTCGGGTCCGAAAGGATCGTTTTCGTCGGGATGGATCCCAATCGCGTGGAGGAGTCGTGGGGCGACGTCCTCGGGAATTTTGGGAACGACCAAACCTTCGCCCCTCCGTCTGTACAGCTCGCAGAGATATGCGCCGATGGGAGTGCCGTCGTTTGAGTCGTTCTCAAACGTCAAGTACGCGTCAATAGAATGGAACGACAGCTGAACCTCATGGTCGCATAGGCAGTCTTTGAGCGCGGCTCGGATAGCTTGAGCGTACAAAGGTCCTTGATTTTCGGAGAATCCGCTGATGATCATGGTATTCGTCGGGTTGTGGTCACCTGGAATCGAGGCATGATGAAGCTCCTCTTCAAATCGAACAAAAATCATCGATTCATCAGCAGAAATTGAAAGAAAGGGAATGGGAACAGAGGGAGAAGGCGCTCCTCGAGCAACTCACCCATCGCTTTTTTGACCCCTTCGGAATCGATTGGTTCAAGAGCGTAGTAGAACGGATAGAAGGCGCCGCAGAGGGCCATCATGACAAAGAAATTCTGTAAACTCTCGTCTCTTTTCTTCAAATTTGGCGTCTGGGGCTTGGTGAATCCCATCATCGAGAGACGTTGCTTGAGGTCCTCGTATTTGTGGTAGGCTTCGACCAATCGGCGGAATTGTAGGCCGTTATCTGTGGCCCAACGAGACATAGCACGGAAGTCATCGCCTCTGTCGGACTCTTTTTCCGTCAGATATTCGTCGAAAGCGTGCATGAGCATCAGTGGATCGGAGAAACTGCCTCTAGCCCAGTACAGTTTATTCTTGTAATTGTTCAAGGGGTTGTAGTCGTCCAAGAGGATTTCCTCCGCGTCCAGGCAAGCGGCGATCTTCACGCACTCCTCGAAACAGCCGAATGCGAAGCCCATCAGAATCAATTTCGATAGACGGGTGTCCAGCGGCAGACTCGCCATCACTCGGCCCAAGATCGTCAAGTCGCCATCCTCGAGATCGACCTTGCCCTTGTGTTCCAGCTGCATGGCTTGCACTTCTTTGAGGGTGATTATCGCTCGAGCCACGTCCGCCGGCGCCGGCGGATCGATGAAGCCTTTCAGGACGTCAGCTGGCTTTTCATCGAAACCGAACTTTTTGATTTTTAAAACGCTGATATCGACCGGACAGCGCAGCATCTCCGGAATGGGGAATTCCTTGAAAGCCTGGTACTCTCTACGGCTAACCAGACGGTAAACGACACCGTCCTGAACTCTGCCGGCGCGACCGGCTCTCTGGTCGCAATTGGCTCGAGAGCAGAACTCTATTTGGTAGGAGGCGAAGTTCGTGTTCTTTTCCACCACTTGGTTCTTGGTCAAGCAGAAGTCGATGACGTATCTTATGTCGGGCACTGTGATCGAGCTCTCGGCGATGTTTGTCGCGACGATAATCTTCCTTATGCTAGGTGGCATTTTCTTGAACGCTCGCTGCTGTTCGTCGAGCGGTACTTTGCTGTGCAATGCGATCGGCTCGAAGCGGCACTGGTCTCTACGTTGGTTCAGAATTCGGATCATCTGTCCGATTTCGGCTATACCCGGAACGAAAACGAGGACGGCTCCCCGATTGCGACGCAAAGTCAGTTCCTCTGCGTCGAAAGTCTCTATCAGGTCGACTACCGCCTTCATCACGTCGATATGCAACACCAGAGCTTTATTGTTCTGCGAGGATGAGTCGTCATCGTCATCGAAACGATTTACTTTCCGTCCGCCGGCGAATGCTTGGATCTTGTTGCAGATACTGGTGGGAATGTCTTCTAGATATTTCTTAGTCACCTGGTACACCGTTCCTGGGCATGGAACGGAGAAGCATTGAGTGAGTGGCATGAACTCGGATGGGTCGACGATCCTGATTATGGTCCGAACAAGCGGTTGACCCAATTATTCGGACCACGAAATTACTGCTCGTCGGGAGGATCCTTAGAAGAATTCGAATTTGCCGCTCACCTTCAATCGAGACGCGGTTACAATTGCTTTCGCCGAAATATCGTGCGTAGAGATCTGATTCGGCGGTCGCCGACATGAGGACGATTTTTGGGCGATGCCCGGTTTTCTCAGGCATCATGCGCAACAAGAAAAGCAAACAATCCAGATCCTGATGTCTTTCGTGGATCTCGTCGACTATGATGTGCGTAAATGGTTCTGTGGTTCTGCAATCAGAGAAAGTTATTCGAATCACTATCAAAAGTCGGAGCAGAGGACATCCGGGTTGAGCACTAACTTCTTAGGAATCGGAGCTCACCTTTGGTGGATAATTTTTTCATTGAGTACATTCGTCGTTACGTATTGTATGCACGTGTCAGTGCCTATTTCTCGATCCATTCCCACCTGAGCGAGGAGAGAACAACGTTCAATAGTTGGGGATGCCATCCATCGAGAACTCGGCTATGCATCGCACCACAATGTTATGCGGGGGTTCTCTAAGAAGCTCGGACCTGATAACCACAGATACTGCCCACGTCCCAGTTACGGTCGCGACAGACCGTGTGGGTGACGCTCATGGCAGCGATTCTCCTCGGCTGTGTGACAACCATCTTGCAGACTCTACCATTCCTGTAGAGCTCGTGCTCGAGGAGCATTTGAGGCACCTATCGGAAGGGTGAGGAGGCTCTCGTGAGACCGTAGATAGCCCGACAGGTGGGTGCTTCCGAATAGAAGGACTTTAGATAGAGTTGGAGAAAGCGGAATTTCGAATACCAGAGTCGTTTTACCACAGCCAGTGTGACCAGCGATGATGGTGACAGGGTATTTTGAGATGCTCTGCAGAATTTCTCGTTCATGGTTAGCCGCCGGAAGGTCTGGCCTCTTCGGTAAATTCCCCGGCTTGAAGTAGTTCTTCCTCAGTCTTTCGACGACACTGTCGTAGTCGTCGCCACTGGCCATCTTGAACGGGTTTCTGGAAAAGAAACCTCATCCTCTGAAGAGTTTAGCCCTCCCCGAGCCACGGCGACCACATGAGGTCTCCGATGAGCTTACAGATCTTTCGAGAAGGCGACTGCAATTTTGCGGCCACTTCAAGCCGAATTCCGATCGCAGCCATGTCGCTATGTCTCCCGGTGTATCGGGTTTCAATCATGCGGAGACTGCGCGCTTCCAATACCGATCGAGAAGTCAGTAATCCAGATCCGACACATCTGTTGAGCGCATGAAATGATGGAAAGCACACCCGGCTAATGAGTGACGGAATCACCGAGCCGCGGAATGCCCTGAACGGAAAGAATGAAACTCTGCGCCTTTCGCGCTCATGAATCTCGAATCATTCGGAGAAGAAAGCTTAGAGATCAGAATGGTGATCCCTGACGAGAGAATCAGGAATCATCGAGTGCATTGCCATGATTCCCGGAGTTCACTTAGATGTATTCGGTTTCAATGAAAGCTTCGCTATCTCTCGCGCCGTGCTACTGTGGTTGCAGCGAAGAGGAACGACCGGCGGAGACTGCCATCGTGTTGGGAAGTTTATGGGCGGAGACCTCCCCCAGTCTCGGGAGACAGGACTGTCAAGGCATAATCGCGGCGCGGCAACTCACAGACTAACCTATCCGGAATTAGATGTGGTCGGAGGATTCATCGTCTTCAGAAGTCAGCGACCGCATTCCAAATTTTCGTATAACAGAGATTCACCGCGGGCTTCACACGATTCATACCGATAAATCGAGAGGTGAGGACTAGAAGCTGTGTCCTTTCGTGGTTCACATCATTTTTCACACCGGCTCCGACCTACGAATTCCTGATTCCACCACTTCCCTTCATCCAGAACAACGTCTGCTGAACGCATTTTTGGGAGAGGGAAGATTCCGTTGCCGCTGTCGGCGACACTCTCAGGCGTCTGTCGTCTGCTTTCCGAGGCGGGGAAAAGTCTCATCGATGACTGTCAAAGCTCGACTTCCACTACTCGCTTTATTCATGGAAGTTTATTCTAGCATAGGTTGTTTCAGCTTCCTTCATTCTACCATCTTCCCTGGAATCGAATCGATGCTTGAGATTCAATGTCCCATGGATGCTCCGATGTCTCTAGACTCGGATCAGACGGAATAGCCCTCGCACCGGACGAAATCTCTGGAATATTCTGAACATTCTGAACAGGTCTTGCTGTAGTATGCTGTCCGACAACTTTACCCGTTCGGCATCCGTGCCGAGTACCAAATGAGCATATGTCGTCATCCCTCCCTCCCCTCCAGACTCCCTGCTTCAAGAAAGGATACTTTAGGTGCCGTGGGTGCGAGTTCTCGGAGGACTCCGCGGATTATAGGATCGTCCATACAGACCGCGATTCTATGTGGGTTGGTTCTCAATGGGACGGGTCGTGGTTTCTACCCAAGTAGCGTATTGTCGCAGCTATCCGACTTGTGCAATTCATCAGATCATCCACGAGACTTATCTTATGGCCGGTAAGCCTAAACTCTGCGAGATTGCGATTTTTTTCCTGCATCTCGGCAGCAACGTAAGAATCACTCGACTGCGGGTCTGACTCCGCGCAGGGCAGACTCGCAAGTGCTTGTCCCGGAGAATGGATCCCTCTCCTCTCAGTACGCGATGCGGTCGCCGTGTTTCTCGCGCCACGCTCGATTCAACGCTCTGGATAGTTGTTTGACGCCTACACAGATGATTGAGCGCGCGGTACCTCTATGGGGGGGAACTTTATTCGGAACATCGATATCATCATATTGATGTTTTGCAATTATTCCATTCAGAAACTGAGAGCAATCCCGACGCGGCTACGTTTCACTCATCATTCACAGATCACAACAACGGTTTTATTTACATCTGTCGGCAACTCTGAGGCTTTGAATTGGCCTTGTCTGACGTGTCGTAACGTCATGAGAGGGAGAGAGCTTACATCTCGCATGCCATCTTCCAGCTCACATTTCCGTAGATTTCTTTCCTCGACGGAGGGCAGAGAACGACTTCCACATCGTTCCTTAAGCCTTAGCTTTCGCCCGGAGCTGATTCTTTTGATAGTAGTCAAAGCACGTGTCTTGGATTACGTTGACGTCGTATAGATTGAAGAAGGTGTCAGCGGAGCCCGTAGGAACCGCGAAGACGAATGAGAGTTCCAATTTCTTCACGAGACCCAAGGTGTCGACGTTGTAGAAGAACTTGCGTACGCCATCGTCGCTGGGATCCCCGAAATTACCCTCGGCTTCGTAGTTTTTCCCGCGGACGGTCAGTGTCATTTTTCCTGCGGGGATGACACTCATCACGTATCGTCGGAAGTTCTGAGTTACAGCGTAGCTGATTTTGTTGTAGAATCGCGGAGTAAGAGTAATTGGTAGTGAAATCGCTTAGTTCAGGGATGTATGTGGACCAATCCACTTACCGTAGCTCGTTTTGCCGTTCTCGTCCGCGCCGATATCGTAATTGACAATGACACAAATCGGATTCTCCGACGGGATTGGTTTCCTAAAGCTGAGACGGGCCTGTTGCCCAGGTTTCAGAACCACTTCGATATGACTCCCTGCAAGGCATGGCTGTTAGTTCACCCTGTGCCCGTTCGCACGGTCGATCTGCGCCATGAGCCATGATCGCATGCACAGCGACTACGGAGAGCTTCGATCCTCCGCGACGCCGACGATTCGCTCCTGGCTCAATATCAGCCCCGGGGTCCGATATGCAGCTATGGGAGGCTCGAGTTCCATTGTGGCTAATAAAATATCCCGTCAATCTATGCGGTCTAGCCTGAGCGCGAACTGAGTGGGCACCCTTGTCCCTGAATTCGTGATTTGGGGAAATCGTCGCTCCGAATGGGGCGTCTGTCCGAGCACCGATTCGGCTCGCGCAGTACACAGCGCGTACGATTCTACGACTCCCATTGTGATGAATGATTTCGGTATATTCTTCAACTCACCGATCGCGAGCGGAGCGTTCAAGACAAAAGGTCCGTTTGTTTCCGCCGCGCAGTCGTCACTACTGATCTCATTAAAGCTGCAGCTCAGCAGCAAACCCCCTGCCGGACCAGGGAATGGCTCGGGCAGGGGTCCCAACGAGCTCTGGGACTCTGGAAAATTTACGTGATTGCGATCGTGACTCCCGCCCTGATGGAAGCCATGACTCGGATCTACTCGGAGCGCTGCTATCTTACCACAAAGTCCGAAGAATTCGTTTTTCATGCATTTGGTACCCCTGGGACAAGCAGAACAGGGTGCTCCCAAACCGTACATGTTCTCTCCGATGGTGTTGCCCCTGGAATAATGCTCGTGAGCGATAGACACTCGTGACGAGGGAAAATGAATGGGGAAGGAAGACTCCTAATAGAAACTGTACATGGATGGCGAGCTTCTTCTCTAAGAAATTTCTACCCCAGCGGAGGGACTACACTGAGCTTCGCTGGATTTCAGCGACGGAGGTACTTACGCGGGACCATAATTGCAGGTGTAAAGCAAGTCGTAGGTGTACGGCGGCTGTCTCGATGGATACATGGTGAAGCCACAGCCAATTTTCCAAGTTCGCGACCACATCATCTACGTGAGGAAATACAAGAAAATCATGACGAGCTATGGAGAATTCTGTATGAAATCGAAGAATTCGCCCGGCGGAAGCATGCGATGCGACTTGGCTTTCGGGACAGGTCTACCTGAGTGAAATGACCAGTGGCGTGGACGAATGAATACGGATGCACGTCGTTAGGCCGGACCATTGAAGCTTCCTCGAACCATCGAGTGATACAGGCAGTCCAGTTGGCCTGAGGATTTCTGGTGTTCGTCTGATCGAGACACAGGTTCTGCCCGACGGCTGGGAACTTGCCTTAAGCCAATGGAAAATATCTGATAATACGACGAGAGGTATTTCCGAATGCGTATCGGTCGAGCTCTCCTCAGTCTTTCCAAACCTCGAACCTTCTCAACACCGATATCGGTGTAAAATTTGCCGACGGTGATGCCCCTAGGCTTGCGTCAGATAGCCTCCCGAAACCTTGACAAGATCGATTCCATGTACTCACTTATACGTCTGCAGGACGGACAATCGTGATCGAAACTGCAAAGATCGGCGTGAGCTTGCGCCACAGCAGCGAGCTCGTCATCCCACTCCATTAGGAGCATATCCGAAGCCTGAGGCAGCTGAGAGTAGGCCGTGGATCCTGTCGCTACATCGGCCCGATATTTGTTGTGTGAGTACAAAATCTCTTCGAGATCCCCGTTCTTCAGGCCTCTCTCGTGAGTCGAGCAGGTCTTCGGGACACATGACGTGTGACGTTGATTGTACCTGCAGTGAGATCGTGGAGGATCGTCAATGTTAGTACCGATGTCTTTCCCCGACGTTCATGCTCAAAAGGTCGGGAAAGATGCACAGCGAATGAACAGTATCGAGCGTCGATCATCGGCGAAAAAATCGCCCTGACGCATTCACCTTCGAACTGGGCAAACATCCGCGCGGGGGCTGACCGCGAAATCCCGGAGAGTTGTCAGAGGTCGTCGCGTCGTTGTTGGCGCTTGCATTGGAGGAGCTTCGGTTGTGGTGGCGACCGCTCTGAACCTCGGCGTGGTAGGACGCGGAGTTGTCGTTGGTCTGGAGGTGAATCTCTCGGTAACGAAAGGTGCGAATGTCGTTGGGCTGTAGGTTATTGGAGCGAATGTGACCGGCAAGAACGTCGTTGGTGAATCGGTGGTCGTCGGAGCGAGTGTAGTGACGAATTGCGGGAGATTCGGCTTTCTGCTTGTTGACGGGGGGAACGTTCGTGGACCCGTAATGGGTCGTCTCGTGATGAGGACAGGAGCTCTCGTGGGTCGCGGAGTCGTGAAGCTCGTCGAGGTCGGTGGCGGATCGGTCAGATCGAGGCTAGGACGTGAGGTTCCGACGTCATCTCCGAAGGCTGTGAATACGTCAGGAGTCGTCGGTTTCCGCGTTGTACCAGGCTGCGTGAACGCTGTCCTACCGGTCGTGAACACATCCGTGACACTAGACGTCGGCGGAGCGGGCCTTGAACTTGATGTTGAATTTCTGGGACGCTCCGGGGTTTTGCTGACAGGTCGGGCGTCAATGCTATTGAAATTCCGCGCAGAATCAAACACGGCCGCACTGAAGACAATATTGAATGCGGTCTTAGCGGCAAACGCCGGAAAACTCATCCCGGCGCTCTCATTCACATCGATCGGAGGCATTTTCATCAGAAAATATTCGCTGATGGTCTTACTTTAGCTGACGATTCTTCTCTTTCTGGGGGGAGTCGCTGAGATCTTTGAGGTTCTGCTCGCGTAACTTGTCTCGCAGCTGACGAATAACTTCCGGATTCCGCGTGGGAACGACTTTCCTACGGGGAGTTGCGCCTGTTGGAGATAGAGAGTCCTGCCGTTAGTCGGATCCGCCTCCGCTCATCTTCCGGGCTGACGCAGGAAAACGTCCGACAGAAATCTCGACGTACGAGGGTGGGTATTCAGCATGAGAAAATTCGACGGGTTCGGATATTTCACGCGCTTGATTTGGCAGAGAATAGTGTCGCACACCATCAGGTTCCGAGCTACCGCGGAATCCTTGTGCCTCCGGCGCTATCAACAGCTTTATCGAGAAAGTTTGACTTATCACATTGGCGATGTCCGTCGCGAGTGAATATGCTTGACAATCGACTGTTGCATGCGAAAATCCATGCATCAAATCGAGCAATGCGACGACTCATTCACCTTTGACATTTCGCGTTGAATTTTTCGTGGGGGTTCGAGATCTTTTTTAGGAGACGTTTTCGTCCAGGCGAGCCCCAAGGTTTGCGTGGCGATCACAGGCTACCGACATGGGGTCGGAGCTTTTTCAAGCCTGATTTTTGCTTTGACGGACGACGTGCAAAGAAATGTTTCCCTGAATGTTTCACTCGGTCACGTGAAAAAAAGTGTCCAAATCGCGAGCTGAGCGAGAACAATGGAATATTATTCAAATGGTGATGCCGGGGTGACGAGAGCAATAGTTGTGTTATGAGCAACGAGGAAAACACAAAGCCTCTCTCTTATTCTGTGGAACGGTTTCAACTAGCGAGGCGGCAACGCTAATGTAATGTGATTAGGTGAGAGTGAGCCGGTCGGAGCTTCCGTGCGACATCTCGCGTGGGAAATGCTCCCTATACGTGGTGACAGAATTCACGGTCAGCCGTTTTCCGCGTGCAGACGCAATCAGAAAACGTCCATCAAAACGCTTAACTAGTGTCGTCTGTCTGCTCTTAAGTTATTAGCTTGCTCAAGTTTCGTCTCAAGTGAAACATTCTCGCTGCGTCTGACCGTGTGCATGGCGTTTGTCAAGCGCGCGGCTGTCTACTGCCGGGGTCAGAGCGCGACGTGTAAGCGTCAATTTTTTGACTGTGATCGCAGCCGCCACCAGAAAAGTTCGCGCTTCACATTTGGAACCCTAGATGCCTAGATCAAGGATTTTCGGAAAGCGATTCTCCTTCTATAGTTTGCGCAGTTTCTATCCGACTGTTTGGTGATGACCGATCGAGGTGATCGCGAGCGCTTGTCACCTTGCGAACCTAAAGCTCAAGCTTTCGACGATTGTCCCTCAGTTTTTTCTTGCTTCGAGCTTCTTCAATGTCTGAATATCCAGTGAACAAGGACCTTCTGCTCTCAATGCGGACTTTATCGTCGATTCGTCGAAGATCCCGGAACACCTCTAAATTTGATCCATGCCCGGGAGGGAGCGAATGGTGGAAAGAGCTATGGATAAGAGGGGATTTGTGACGAACAATGGTCAACGAATAGGCTGAACGGGATCAATGAGGACTCGAGTCGTAAATCGAGACGGAATCAGTCTTCTACTACATGGTGTGATGTTTATAGACCATTGTTGGTTATGACGAACCGGAAGATTATGCGTTCAAGGCCAAGTCAGATCCTATCGCAGAGCAAGAGGTCAACTCTACGTCGTAATCACAGTGATTATGTATTTAGCCATTCTTCCCGAAGTCGTAGTGAAGTTGGTGGACTATTAATATGCGCATGTGAACAACTTGGGAACTAAGTCCACAGTCAAACTGGTCACAGCGAGAACCTCTTCCGTTTATTGCGGTAGAGGAAAACCCCTTGCCTCGAACGATGGAGCGACTTACGTTTTTGTCCCTTGGATAAACATCTCCCTAAACCGGAAAATCAAGATCATCAGGAGTCTACTCACCGTCATCGTTGCGGCCTCTCTCCACGGCTGGGTTGGGGAAGATCGGAACGGAGGGACCTCCGAGCTGTCCGCGCAGGTTTTGACCCCTGGACAATTTTGGGCGCCCACCGGATCCGGAATTCATCGGGGGGTCCGCAGGTCTCCGAGCCCCGCCAGATGGATTCGGGTTGAACCTCGCGAAGTTATCGTTGGTCCGCCCGAAGGGTTTCCGAGTTGAGGGAACCGACGAGATCGTTCCGTTTGAGAGGAAGAAGATGCCTGCTTGAAATCGTTGTTTCGGCGGACTCCGAGTCGGCAAGGGTCGGGTGAACTTCGATGGTCTCTTGCCGGCGGGGCTGAAGCCCGGGGTGAAACTCGACGATCTAGGAGGAGTGAACAGGAAGTTTGCATCGTCCAGCCCCGGCACCGACGATGCTGGAGGAATAGCTGTGGGGAACTGTCTCGGAGATGTCGGGGATCTGGTCGTACCAGCCGTCAATGAATTCACCGCCGGCGGAGACGTCGCTGTCTGAGTGGGCGGTGTCGTGGGAAAACCAAATGCTCGAGGAGGTGAAGAGCTCGTCCGTTGGTTATTCGGGACATTCGGCGAAAAGTCAACATAGTAGCTAGCCCCTCCTGGAAGGCGAACCATGATGCCCGATTTCCCTTTCGGGAACTTGAATGGCTTGAAATCTCCATCGAACAGGGACGGTATCCTTTGAATTCCAGATGCTGTCGACACGGATCGCGGAGCGGGAAACTTTTTCGTTGTGGAGAACAAAAAAGCGGCGTCATCGTCGCTTCGTGAATTTTCCGTCGAACGCATGTGACTGGCCCTGTTTCGCTGAGATCTAGGCGGTGAGGTTGGGAAACGACCTTCGGAAAGGAACACGGGAACATCGAACGTCGAAGGAACGGACGTCGTTAGTTCGACCGCGTTCGCTGGTGTGGTCCGCTCCGATTGTCGGGGGGAATCAGTGGAAGCAACCCTGACGGGGGCTCTCGTGGACGCGAAGCGAGCCGCTGAGAAGAGTGGTCGATTCCGGTTATTGGGTAGAGGATCTCCAGGATGGGTTAGGTTGAAGGAGAACGTTGGTTCTTTGGCACCGGGTCCTTTGAAGTAAATATAGCTGTACGGTTGGGACAGGATCGTCGCGGGCCACATAGCCAACAGCGCAAAAACAGTCAACCGAACCGGCCGATGCATGTCTGAAACCAAATATAATTTTTTTGTTCTAGAAGTGGCAGTAGAGATTTTTTTCTATTTCGCACTCGAGTTGTCTCCGTGGGGCCTGTCTGCGAGAGCTTCAGGTTACGAAACTATGGCACGGGCTTCGCCTCGTCGGCCGATCTATGTTTTCACGTATCCTGTTGCAAAGTCCGGCTGATGCAGCGTGACACTTCATTGTGTTCCATTGTGCCCGTACGAATGAAATATCCCCAGAATTTTTGTCTCCGGAGTCAAATGTCCGGCATCGATCGGGCCGGATCCGTGTCCACTGGCCCGTCAAGCGTATTGGGCGATTTCCGCATCGAGTATATTTCGACTCGATTCGCTTCTCAATAATCCTGCGCTGTTAAAATTGTGCGCATTGCTTTTGTGCTACAGTGATTGTTGTTCATGGGTGGCGGTCAAGGAATCGCGATCCACCGTGCGCGGCTCGCGGATTTCTGTGTGAGCTCGGCTGCCGTCGAGCCGTTGTATTAGGTTCTTTTCACTGACTAATTCTCAAAACCTTCAATCTGTGAATGATTGATTACAGATTGATGATGGTCCAAACGGTGCTTCGACTCCACCGACAGGACTCAGGGCATCGCTGAGCCGCTCAGCCATCGTGGTCATTATCATTCAAAACGTCAGCATCATCGTTTTTCTCATTTTCATTCAAGTCCGTTTGATTCCTTGATGACACTGCTACGAGCGGCGACTCGACTTGTTGTTATTTGCTGTGTATGAGTTGAGAACGCGCATCGTTTGATGTTTCGGTCCTTGACTAAACGCAGACGTAGAAATATTTTACGGTCGCCATGACGCACACAGACGATCTCACACTTGAACTGTGCCTGCGTACGGAGCCAGCGGAATCGAAGAGCGCGACGGAAGGATACAGACGGAGAAGTGAGGGATTTATAGGTTTCGACCGCAAAAACCTTCCTGCTGAACCGATATTACACGTACGTACGTCCGGCGGAGTCCGACAACTTACAGCGCACCGCTGGGGCCAAGGTTAACGTCGTTGGTAATTAAGACGGACGTTCGCGTCTCATCAGACTGTGGTAGCTCAGCAGATCCATACCAGCAGAACCATCGACAGGCTGAAAGATCGCGCGTTGAGCGACTTGAGCGAAATCTCCCCGCTGCGGTGGGACCGTCGGTAGGATAACATCCATGGATGGTTCCCCTTCGAAATAATGCTTCCATCCCGTAAGGGTCTGTAAGTTCCGGTTGATGTTGCTGAGCGCCGTCATCAAAGCCGGGGACTGCGCCTAGTCCCGAAGTTCCCCCGTCAATATGGATCTTGATATCTTGGGGAACCTCAGGAGCGACAACTTTCTTCACCCTCGTACACAATCGACAGAAGCGCAACAATACCGCCGGACATGAGTGAACGCAAGACTATTGTCGCGACGTCTGCAACAAGTTTCATGTCGCGGGATATCGAAGTTGCGGTCAGGTTGAATCATCTTGGAGGCAACTAGAAACCATCTAGTGATTCCGACCGGATTCCTGGGGTCGCCAAAGTTCAGAGAGACGCCCTACGACCGACGAGCGAGCCCGCTATCGCCGAGCTCGATAAGAGTTCTCGATACGCTCGCGGAACGTCGGCGGCGGATCTTCTCGTCGACGACGGTTGGAGCGAGCGCTCGCACGCCGGATCGCGGCTCTCGATCGGTGCATTTCTGGTTTCTTATGCAAATTCAAAACTACCGAAGTGGTCGCGGTCGGTTTACAGCGTAACGAATATTGTTTTTCGTCATAATTGTTGTCCGTCACAGTGTGTTGTAACGGTGAAAGTCATGGATGCCGAGGCTCCATACGCGCGATTTCCCGTGGAGGCATCATTTGCCACGGGAAGGCAGGGTGTCAGTCGGTTTGTGATTCACTGTCGTGGTGCGGAACCGCACCGAAAACAACACCTGTTTTACGGTTTTGGGATTTTGACGATTTCAATTTTCGAACTTTGCCTTCTCCTCTCAAGATTGCCGATATAATCCTTTTAGACGAGACTGGGTCAGAGAAACCGTATATTCTCTCGCCCTATCGCTAACCGTACCGTCGGGAGACGCTGAACGCCAACGTCCACCATCGGCGTTCACCACAGCGTTCTACGTCAGCGCAGCGTCTCCCGTGGATCAAAAGCAATTTGACCCGCTGACCCGAGACAAATGAGAATCTTCGCAGACTGAAGACACCTTGACAACTACTACTCGAGAGCCAATAATTACTCTTGTATATTTTCCTTTATTTTGATATCGTGGCTATTGCGGTGGCTGTGAACGAAGCTCGCATGAACGAGTTGTCCGACGTGATATGATGTTTTTTTTAACATCAATACTAGTTTCATTCGCACAAGTTTCGTCAGTGTGCCTGTACCTCATTGGTGCTGGCTTGCAAGAAAAAATGGGGAGGAACCCGGGGGAAACTTCTGAGCGAGATCACGAGAAATTCCGCCCATTCCGGGGATCTTCCCCATCGGTACAGATGTAGCTGACTTCCAATGAATTCAAAAATCATGGGAGACATCTCTACTGATTCTTCTCATGACCACGGCTACCCACTGGTCGATGAAATGCCTGACGGAGGGGATCGTTGCGGCATTGGAGATGAACTCGGGACACCGGAGCGAACTTGGAAATATTTCCAAACGGAATGGGCTGGAGGATTCATATTCTGACTGTGAGTATCCTCCCGTGCGATTCCGTTCCGTAATAAGGCGCGGTGCCAGCGGACGACCCGTAGAGATGCCGACCGTATTCGGAGAACTTTAACTGATCGACTTCTTTGCCAAAATCGAACGAGTCTCACTCAGATAGTTCTCGATGCAAGATTTAGGAGAAAGGTATGTACATGTGCTTTCGAAAACGGGAATCCTGAGTGATTCGGCTTCAAGTAATCGATCCTTTCGCATGTTGGGCGCGCATTCGTTTCTCAGGAAGCCTCCCCATATAAACTACGGGTGAAAGGGAACCCGGGGCGACCGCAGAATCGACCATAGGAGAATGAGGCTGTCGGCGAAATTTCTCCCATCCCTGTGGAGGCCAGATGGTCTTCGACGACTGACCGACTCGTCTGTAAAGCACGTCGTAGGAGTCACACGACGGCAGGAGAGGAACGCTCTGTCAATCTATGTGTCTATTCAATGTTAGCGAGAAGTTAACATGTCAAAGTCTTCAAGTCTCGATCACGGAGCCACAATGCGAAAGTGCTATGGGTCGGGACGAAATTCGCGAGGACGATTGTCACAAGCGGTACTGGGAGAAATGCGTGTGTCTGAGGCAGTTTTCTGAAGCTTCGACAGACGGATGATCTCATCGCAACGTCCCCTACATTCAGTCACATCAGGCGGTGGGGTGATTTCAGCTCTTCTTCTTTCGTTTTCCTTCGAGCGGGAGAGACATCCGAAAAACATGCATACACTATAGGCGTGGATATGGTTTTCGATGGGAAAGCTCACACGAAACATGCGGTTTCGGTTCAGCGGGGCCGAATGACGTCGCCGATGGCCGAATGTCACTTCGCGACAAATTCCTCGACAAAACCACTCATTACGGCGCGTCGATACCGGTCCTCAACCTAAATGACCGTTCGAAGCCAGCATGAAGGTTTCTCTTGAGAAACTTCGAGTTCGAATTCGGAAAACGGAGGCAAAAACGTGTTTACGTATCAGTAATCGTATCGCGACATATTGATCCGCTCCCACGATTATGACGAGCTGCGATGGGATGCGTTTGCGTCGAATGTGCCTCCGACGCATTTTTGGACACTTCCGCAAATGACCTGCAGCTTGCCTTCGTGAGAAAAGAATTTGAGGCCGGAAAATCGAATATCTTCTGGCCGAAAGACCGAATGATAGACGAACTGCTAGCAGATCGGGAAACGGATGGACGGACGGTAAGACCGGAGCAAATGGGTGCGCCGGTGGGCGATGTGACCCGTCGATAGGGTATCGTTTGCTATTCCTGGTGCCTGATTGGTCACATTTACCATTGTCCAATTCTGTTTTCCAGGAACTGTCGCTGTCATAGGACACAGGATCCGCCCCAGATTCGAAGGGTGAGCTGGGGGAGACCTTCAGACAGCAGACTCACGGGCCGGCCGGCTGGCTAACTTCCTTAATCGCTCATGGAAGTTTCACCGAATTGTGTTCCACGTCACGCGCGGAATTTTTCGTCAAACTGCTCATTCGTAAGTTCTTTCCATGGTATCTCGAATGCTTGAGCGCCCCTGCCATGAGGAAAAGGAATCTAAGACCTGCATCGGAGATTCTCCCCTTGGTTAACGATTGATGTGAAGCAAAGAAATAGAACTTCACTCGGTCATAGAAACATCGGTTGACGGCAGTCGGCACTCCCCAAGATCTGTGGTGCTGGTCCTGCCAAAAAAATAATACATCCCCACACGGAAAACTGCTGCGACTGGCAACAATGTGTCGGAGGCAAATACATCACTTTCGAGCTCCTCCATTTTCTCTCCAGCCTTTTGATAATTATGGAATTGTTCGACATGGCGTTGACGTCGTCGTCGTCTGGATTTTTCTTACGACTTCGCAACCGATCTTCGAAAGTATAGCAGTGAGTGTGTGTGTGTGTGTCCATGAGAAGGGGACTGTGCATCTGGTCCGGTCACTTGCTCTGAGTGAGTGGCCAGCGAGCGATAGAGTGTCGAAAGATTCGTCGAAGTCAACAAACATTCTTGGAGTCAAGACAAAGCCTCATAAATGAACGAGCGGAGGAACCATTTGCGCGAATGTTCGACCTGTCGAATTCGCACATCTTGGCAGCTATTCCTGATTCGAAACATTCAATTTCCAATTGCAAACTTTCGAGCACGATATTGTTTTCAGAATAAATGAACAATTGAGCGAGAACCGATTATCCTTCTCCGCGAGCAGCGTGACAGTGCCCGAGACGCGGCTCTCTATTCCCGCAGTGGCAGCGGGACTT